ATGATAGTTAATGCGGACAAGGCAGCAGTGATCATCACCATGCAGGGTGCCAGACGGAAAAAGGCCGTAGCTGAGTTCACGCGAATGCACAAAGACCAGAGGCACCTCAAAGTAAGATCCACCGGGCAAGACGTTCTCCTGCCGATACTTAAAGGATCATGGGACTTAGTAAGTAGGGTTATAATCAGGGTAACTATACTTATAACCCCAATTAGGGGACTTATAACCTTACTTACTAAGTCCCATGATCCTCCAAGTAGTCAGCGAGACTGTTTATCTGGGGGCGATAATCTCCTATCGTAACTTCCGTGCCAGCACGCTGGAGCACAGACTCGCCAAATGCAAGGCCACGCAAAGCCGCCTCCGCAAGATTCTGCAGGGACGTCGAGGTCTTACCCTCGTAAGACCTCCGACAGCGTGTGCTTCTCTGGCAGTCGACTGTCCTGCCTAGCGCATTGTATGGACTAGGGGCATGCAGCCTGGACGCTCCACTCTACCGGAGGCTACATCAGACATTGCTTCGACAGCTTCGAGCCATTGCAAGAGCCCCAGCACATCTGACGCATGAATCCGACCAGGAGCTACTCCAGCGGCTTAATCTCCAGAAGCCCAAAGCCATACTGCTTAAGCACCACAGACAGCTGGAGGCAAGTCGTGACCCCCTTGACACCTACACGCAGAGCCCCACGCACCCTTGGATGCGGAGGCTTCTTGATTCCTGGACCACAGCAGCCGAAACAGACACACAACCAAACCACTCACCCGCACCTCGTCATCCCACACCGTCTTCCCTCACAGGACCCTCTTCACAGGCCACACCTCTCCCGGACCTCGAGACCCCTCAGGTCACTGCGCCGGAAAATCCACCGAATGTGAACAGCCGAACGCCGCAGCCAGAATTTGAGTGCCCCCACTGTCCCAAACGCTACGCGAAGCTTTCGACACTTAGATGGCACATGTCTAAAGTCCATAAGCTCAACATGCCAACGATAAAGTTTGATCGGGCCATCCACTCGACCCATGGCATGCCAATCTGTGCTAAGTGCGGAGCGTCTTTCACACGCTGGGAGACCCTTGAGGCCCACGTGGTCCACCAAAGATGCAGCTCCCTGCTCCCTACTCAGGAACAGACGGAAGTCCCTGACCCCCCCGCACAGGTGCGAGCCGCTCCTGTATCCCCTGTCAGGTCTTGCCGCGAAGGGTACCCCAGCGCACCCATGCCGGTGCCTGGGTCACCAGCGACTACCATTCCCCTAACCCCCCCTACTCTACAGGAGCCGAAGCCCCAGCCTCATCCTCACACGGACGCTCAGGCCTCCAAGACCACAGAGGACGGCGGACGGCCCTCAGAGCCCTTGATGCCCGGTCACGCCCAGCCTAGTAGTACCGACCACAGTGATCGGATACCAGCGGAGCCTGGAGCTTATAGAGATTTTGCACTCTCCATTATGCGTCAACATGGACTTGCCACGCTGTTGCGTTCGCCACTCATGCCGTCGCTTGCCTACCATTGCCTTGAGTGCGGCCAGTGGCATGCAGCTACGCACACCATTAAGATGCATTTCAGGCGCTCGCATCCTGAACTCTTTGCGCTAGGTGCTCAAGCCACCTCGCTGGCCAAGAGGGTTGGAGGGTCTCTGTCCCCTTGTCTCTACTGTAATCGTCCCCACACCCACCCGAGACAACATCTAGCGCACTGCGTAGCTTTGTGGCAGGCCTGTGTGTTCTCCCTGTTCCATAACCATGGAGCCCCAGATGGCGGACCTCACCATGACGGAGGTGTTCGGACCACTCCTGCGCAAGAGGACGGGCCCCAACTCGGATTCGTCCCAGGCGACTCAGCCGGAGCGCCCCACCAAGGCGGGGAAGCAGAACGACGGAGGCAAGGGGAGGGGACATCAACGGAAGGGCAGGGAACGCTACGGGAATGGCACAAGGGGCTCGCAGCAGCAGGGACAGGGGCAAAACTCGGGCATCAGCAAGGAGACACTTCGACTGGTCACCAGGGCTTTGATCCACCAACAAGAGGCCATCGATACCCTGCGTCTCAGCACGGGTTGGGTCTGGTGGCTTCGCATCCCGGAGCCCAGTGTAGTGCCGACGTTGGTTCAGGCAGCGGAGGTCTGGAGAGAGCAGGCCGTGCTGAAAGACAGCAAGATTCAGGATACGCCACTGCGCCAGGCCCTGTTTTGGAGCATGATGCAGTTTCTGAGAGGGACCCTGGAGACCATGACAGAGGCGAACCTCAAGCTCTCCAAGGACTCAGGCTGGGTCAACGAGCAGGGCCACTGGGTCTTTCAGAGATGGAATCCAGAGCTGAAGGCATTGGAGGTAGACCCGAACAAAAGTGCACTCACTCACGAGACCCTCATGAAGATCATAGTGGACATCCAAAGCTTGACGCATCGAGAGACGCTCTCCCGATTCCACGTTCTGAAATCCCTAGAGCCGGAAATGGAGGGGCAAACGGTCAGGGTCATGATGGACATTGCACTGCGGTGCCCGGAGGCAGACCGGATGTTCAAACAGCTCTCGGCGCTCCAGGGCAACGCCGCTCTACAGATCGTCGGTCTTCAGTTTCGCCGCTCGACCATGCAGAGATCCCCGGTGATCAAGCAGCTGATGGAGAACGTCTTTGGCTGACGCACCTTGTTCTCAACAATCCCAGAAACTACTGCTACCTGAATGCCGCTGTCCGAGCCCTATTGTGGGCCGTCGGCGGCAATGTGTCTTGCCCTCAGGCGATGGCTTCGGCAAGGGGATTTACAACTGCAGGTGCCCAGGCCATTGCTTTTATTCGCAGGCTAAGCCCTCGCCCACACTTCATACCAGGCATGCTGTTGTGGAGATTTGTGCTGTCGGGCTGGGCCCGCGCTCAGGACCAACACGATTGTGCAGAGTTCATGCACCGTCTGATTGCGAAGATTTGCCCCCAGGCGACGGCCGGGGATTGGTTACGTGAGACCGAAAAGGCCAGCTGTGACCAGGCACTAGCTCTCGAGCTGCCTGCAGGGGTTCAGCTGAGCGCCCAGTTCATGATTCACCATTGGCATCTCCAGTCCTCGGTTTATGCACTTAGGCGCCCACCGGTGATCTTGATGTTACAGCTTTCCAGGTACTCGCTCGGGCCCGAGGGTGCGAGGAAAAACCACGCCAGTGTTAGCTGGCCTAGATTGCTTAACATCCCGTGCTTTGATGCTGACGGGATTGAATCACACAACATCACATACATTGTGGAAGCTGCCGTTCTCCACCATGGTCAAAGCACGCAATCAGGCCATTACACTGTACTCCTACATCAGTCCCAAGGCGTTGACTGGCTCTGTGACGACGGGGTCGAGCCAAGGCGACTCACACCGGATTCCACACTTATAGACGGCCCCAGATTCCGCTCGTCTGAAGTGTACTTACTGATATGCAGGCGTGGGGACACTCCCCACTCTCTCTAGGCAGGTGCCCTTTGTTCTTTGACCTGACTCGTAGTGTATGCCTGTCAGGTGGCCGTGGGGCCTGGGGGCCCCACCGCGGGACCGCACCATTGCAAATTCAGTGTGCGGAAAATACCCAATCTTCTCCACCTTCTCCTGTCTGCCTGCCTTATACATTTTTCTGTCATGCAGGCTGTGTACTGCACGTGACACCTGCAATCCGGTTGCTTTTGCCAGGCCCTGGCTCACTTCAGCGGCGCATGCACATGTTCCCGACTAAACCCCCTGATGTACCCGATGAGGTCTGGGAGCTGGAGCTGCCCTCCATCTTGGGCCCATCGCACCCCGGGTTCCGTGGGCCACCAGAGACACCATCACCGCGTAGTTTAATCTCCATTGGCTCCGGGGCTAGTTCCTTTGCCTCCCTCACCCACCCTTCCGAGGCCTCGACTCAACCTGGTCTCAACGTAGGTACCCAGGAGCACGCGGCTACGTCCTCTTCTACATCTGCAGATACATCGTTTTTGGAGTGGAATGTTCCCAGCACGGCATCACAGCTCACCGTGGACGTTTATAACGGCGACATGCACCCTGCACCCACAGCTCAGGACCCTGGTGCGGAACTGCTGGCACACTTCATCCTACAGCGCGGCTCCGCTACATTCGGACACATCTCTGAACTATTGGATCTGCTTCCGGAGAAGTCTGCAGCTAAGCGCCGTCACCAGCTCTGTCTAGAAGTACATCAGCAGAAGTGCTTTTCCACTGGAGCTTACACCTTTGCTCACTCCACAGGCATCCAGCTCACTGCATTATCATATCCCAGGACGACTTTGGTGCTGACTGGCATCATGAGAGGCATGTGCCCAGATGCAACCTTTGCCTCACTGGCGCTACAACGCAACATTCAGCTGCAGGCGCATCGCGACACTGGGAATCACCCTGGCTTTCTGAACACCATTGTCCCCTGCTCTCGATGGGTCGGCGGCTGCCTATGGGTACAGAATGAACATGGAGCCCATGCTCTGGATCAGGATTCCGGACCGGGTACTATGCACAGGGTGCAACTTCCTTACATACAATTTTCGCCGCACTGCACTCACGCAACCACACCATGGTCGCAAGGTGATCGCACTATCCTCATTGGCTATACTCCTCGACATTTGCACCGACTTACAGCTTCGGACCGAGAGAAGCTGGTAGGCATGGGCTTTAACCTTCCCACGGCGTTGAGCTGAGTTGAGCTGAGTTGCTGAGTTGCCGCCTGAGCCTAAAGCGGAGTGAACTGCAGTTTGCTGTAATTACGATGTAAATGCGAGCTACTGCGTTTGTGAAGGCTAGCTGTGTAGAGCTGAGCTGTCGCAACTTTTTGCTACCCTTTTCTACTATGTCCCTCGTCACTCGTGACGAGGTTTTGAGCCCTCGGTACGCACATAAGATGCGTGTTGCCACTGCGTAACCGGTGACGATGTCACTGACCTCTTTGACCTGTCGCATCGCCCGGAC